AATGATAGCGATGATGAAGGTAAAAATAAGGATAGCGAGGATGAGGATAAGCCTAAGGATTCGGATGAGCATAATGCTAGCAAGGATCAGGATCAGGATGGACCAGCACGATGATAGCGAAGATCAGTTCATTTGTTCGGCCCCTTGTGCATCCGCGCACGGCAGGCATTGCGGTCGTGCATGTGAGGACGGGGAGGGGGACATGTTGAGGGATGAAAAAGCGGCCCTACCCTGGGTCACGAGTGCGCGGTCTGTAAACCCCCTGGGAAGCCCCAGGGCCGAGAGCCGCCAGGGCGCGGCGCATCGCGCAGGATCTACCCCGTCAGCCCACGGGAGCTTCAGCGCACAACGCCTCGTAAACCAGGATAGGGGCGTTTTTTTTCTTCTGGCCTTGAACATGGGCAGGAACGGGGTACGTAGCACGATTTCTGTCAATATGGGTATCTTTTCCCCGCTGACCGCGCTGCACCTCGGACTCGTCATTGCCATGTCGGGAAGAGCGGAGGCAGCGAGAATCGTGGCAGGAGGCGGCTCTCGCCCCGAAGGAGTTGAGTCAGGCCCGCTGCCCCTAAGGGGCGGCCCAGGAGTCGAGTCAGGAGGCTTCGGAGGAGATGGCGGGGATGGGGGCGCTGGTCTTCGGAAGTACTTGGTGGGCAGGTACAGGGCGGGATCCCTTTCGGCCGTGGACGTGACAACGATATCCTTTCACTCGTTTCGGGCTGGGGCCACTGGGATCGGAGATCTCGCGCTGGATCCTGGTCAGAGCGCGCGCGCGTCGGAGCATGTGAGACGCGCGCTGGGCCTAGAGACGGCACACAAAGAGTTCTACCACGTTCAGATGCCTTGTTGAGACAAAGCAACCGACAGCAGAGAATATATTACTTTCCCGTTTTATCTGCCGCACGATATTTTCGCGAACTCGTGGCATGAGAACCCAGCAGCATGGGGCCCACTGAACTACGACGCCGACGTGCTGCCCCTGAACTTCGAGAGTCACGAGGTGGTGAAAGAGGCCCCCACGAGAACCACACCCTTGGGTCACTTCTCCGATGGTGTTCCGTGGACGAAGAGGGACAGCTTCTTTTGCTACTATATGAGCAGTGGTCTCTCCAGGAAGAGGCACCTCATATGCGCGATTCGGAAGCAGGACGTCTGCAAATGCGGGTGCAAAGGAAATTGTAGTTTTGGCCTCATCCAGCGGGTGCTCCGCTGGAGCTACAATGCTTTAGCAGAGGGCACATATCCAGCATTCGACCACGACGGGAAGCCCCTGCCTGAGAGTAGATCCCTGAAGCGCGGATTCCCCCTCGCAGAGGGGTGGCGGGGGGCCCTCTGCGAAATCAGAGCGGACCTCTTAGAGGTCACGGGAGCTTATGGATTCAAAACGTGGCAGAACCCAAGGAACCCTTGCTTCTCGTGCGCCTGTCCAAAGGCAAGCCTGTTTGACTTTCCAGCAACGATGGATGATCTATGGGCCTCGCGGGACAATCTCAGGTACCGGCACATGGTAGACAATTCCCTTCGCACGGTTGCTGCCCCAGACGACGCAGCTCTCAGGCGTCTGGCCGCCTCTCTGCAGATGGACAACAAAGCTGGGGGATTAACTGTGTTCGGGCGGCGTAATGCCGAGTTCGCCCTGCCCGTCGGATATCGTCTCATCGAAAACGAGCACTGCACTGACATTCACGAACTTCGGTCGGTGGAGACGCCAGCACAACTGCAGTTCTTCAATGCGTCCAACAGCCAGGGCCTTGATCAGATCTGCTCCCTCTTTCAAGTCAAAGGAGTAGGGGTGGATACCATCATGCTCGACGGGATGCACATCCTCGACCTGGGCGTGGCACAGTACGTCATCGCAGCAGTGTTCCACAGACTGGTCACGACGAATTTCTGCGGGAGTAGAATGGGCAGGAAGGCGCAGCGGGACCATGACAACATCCTTCACCTCCGCCGAAGAATTCGGGCGTTCTACATTGCCACGGGCGCGCTCAGGAGAAGGGGGGGCAAGTCCGTGATAGGGAGGCTGACTCTGAAGATGTTCATGCCGCCCCAGGAAGGCGGGATCCCGCGCCTCAAGGCGAAAGCCGCCGAGTCGCGGCACCTCGTGCCACTTCTTCCTCAGCTCTGCCGCGAAGGCGCTGGGTTTCTAGGTCCGCGCAGAGCGGCGCTGATGCAGGCCTGCACGCACCTGGCCACCGTGCACAATTGCCGGGGCCCAAAAGCCGCGCGCAATATGAGCGCGTCCAGTGTGCACACCTTCCAGACACGAGCTCGGGACTTGCACTGTGGCCCATGGCACTTGGATCTTGCTGGTGGCCCGTCCCTCGTATGCCCCGTTATTGCTGGATTCGTCTCGGTCCCTCGTATGCCTCGTTCTTGCTGGATTCGGCTCGGTCCTTCGTATGCCACGTTCTTGCTGGATTCGGCTCGGTCCTTCGTATGCCACGTTCTTGCTGGATTCGGTTCGGTCCTTCGTATGCCACGTCCTTGCTGGATTCGGTTCGGTCTCGGTTCGAGTCGGCTTGGGTTTCGTTAGCGTGGCTGGGCGTGAGTGCGCGTTTCTTTCTCGTTGCAGACGGCCAGCCTCGCGTTCTTGCGGGCATGGAAGGAGTGCAGAGGCCACTGCGTCTTTAAGTTCCACGCGATGGTTCACCTCGCAAAGCAGGTTGCCGAGAAGGGAAATCCAACGCGGCACTGGACGTACCCCGATGAGGCAGAGGCTCGGAACATGCAGCGGGTCGCGAAATCCCTTCACGGCGGTCCTACTTTTTATGACAGGATGCTCGAGAAGGTCCACCCTCCTGGGGGGGGGGGGGGCCTATCGACATCCCGCCATAAAAATGAGAACCGCCGTGCAAAGGGAAGGGTCTTCGCGACGCCCTGGTGATCCGATGGTCTGTTTCACTGGGGGTACGTCTAGTACCACGAGGGAGAACCGTACGAATAATTGTTACGATGGTGATGATGACGATGATTGTGATGATGGTGATGATGGTGATCATGATCACGTGGGTGATGGTGATTTCCCTTTTCGGCGCCTGCGCGGGGACGCCTGCCTGAACAACAGGCGGGGTGATCTCTGGTCCAGCTTGAGAAAAACGTGCTCGCTTGCCGACAGAGCAGAAGGGGCACTCGAGGAGCATTGCCAGTCCCCCCTCCCCCCCTCCCCTCCCTTTTTTTCCGCGGGACTCCAACGCCCCTTCCGCGCGCAGAGGCGTGGAAAGCAGGCGGCGCGCATTTGTTCCCCACGATCCGTTCTTGCCCGCCTCGGGACAGGCCCCTTCCCTCCCTCCACTTCCCTCCCTTCCTTCCCTGCCCTTCCCCCGTCCCCCCCCCCCCCCTGCCTGCTTCCCTCCCCCCCCTCCCTCCCTCCTGCTTCCTTCCCTAGGGGCGCAGGGCGCTGGCCCTCAGGCGCCGTTGCTCGGCTAAGGGGCTCGGTGTCTCGTCTCCCCGTCTCCCTTCCTCCTTCTCTCCTCCATATCCCTTCCCTCTCCTTCCCTGCCTCCCTCCCTTCCCTCCCCTCTCCGTCCGTCCCTCCCCTCTCTCTCCCTTCTCTCCCTCCCCTGCCTCCCTTCCCTCCCTATCCTCCTTAAGCCCTTCCCTCGCTCCCCTCCCTCCGTTTCCTGGCACCCCCTCCCAGACCCCGACGTCGTGATTTTTTCCAAGCCTCCCTGGGTTCAAAAAATTTTTGCCGTGATCGACTCGCGGCGGGATGCGGTGACCCTGGCGCTGGTGATCGACTCGCGGCGGGATGCGGTGACCCTGGCGGCGGGATGCGATTGACCTCGGGGCGCTGATGTCCAGCGCCAGAAGGGTACCCAAGGCGTGGATTTCTCCTCCCCCCCTCCCCAGTCCACCTTAACGGCCTCACTCCTCGCGAGGCGCCGACGGCGAGCGTCCTGCCTTGAGCGGGGTCCAGGCCGGGCGCGGCGGCTCCAGCCCCACCCGCACGCACAGTGCACGCACACACACACACAAACAAACAAACAAACCCAAACACACACACACACACACACACACACACACACACACACACACACACACACACACACACACACACACACACACACACACACACACACACACACACACACACACACACACACACACACACACACACACACACACACACACACACACACACACACACACACACACACACACACACACACACACACACACACACACACACACACACACACACACACACACACACACACACACACACACACACCACACACACACACACACACACACACACACACACACACACACACACACACACACACACACACACACACACACACACACACACACACACACACACACACACACACACACACACACACACACTCCATATCCATCTCTGGCCCCGCGCGACCGCGGGCATCTTGCAGGGGCGCGCTGGCGGCGCGCCTTAGGCTCAGTCGCCACCTCCCCCCCCCCTTTTTTTTGATTGCGCAGGAGGAAGTGGAGGAGGACAACCAGAGGAGGAGGAGGAGGAGGAGGAGGAGGAGGAGGAGGAGAGGGCACACCACCGACATTGTTCCCATCTCCAGTCGCACGCTGGCACGCCGATCGGCGCAGGCCACGCTGTAGTTCTGGACGCCCGAAATGGGTGCCGAAAGAATGGGCGCACTGCCCAACAGCAGTTCCTGTTCATTTTGAACAGGCCTCGCTGTCCACGCCGCCGCGGCCCGTGTCCATTCGAGACAGGAGGCCGCCTGCCCAACGGCGGCCGCTGTTGGTTTGGGAGAACATTTGTCGTTGGGCATCGTACCCATTTGTTCGGTACCCATGTCGGGCGTCGGGTCCAAAGTAGTGGCCCACCGCTCGCTGCCGATTGCCTGGACTTGGCTGTTCTTGCCCTCTCCCGCCCCCTTGGATTTTTCGAAGCAGCATCGCCCGAGTTCAGGGGGCCGCCCTCCGTGATCGGTCGTGGCCGCATCGAGCACGTATGATCCCCTGCTCCTTTCCCACCCCCACCCTTTGCCCACGGCATGTGGACGTGCCTGCGGCATGTGGACGCGCCTGTGGAGACGCGGTGCGCCGCTCGTTTCCGCCACGCGCATTGGAAACAGAGGCGGGTAGAGGCGGGTGGGTGCGTGGCTGAAGTGAACATTTGCGGTGATGAATATGTTTGTTGCGTTGTTGATGTTGATGTTGATGTTGATGTTGTTGTTGTTGTTGTTGCTGTTTGCTGTTGTAGTCGGCCCTCCCCGCGACCCACCTGCGACCCACCCCGCGGCCCATCCACATCCACGCTTCCTATCACAATTTCCCCCCCCTTTCCCTTGAATTAGCACGTGGAGCTGGCCGCTGCATTAATGCAGAAGGGCCGCCCACGCTGCGCTGGCACTGCTCGGAGCGAGCTGCAGGCCCGCAGGCCGCCTCTCTCCCTCCTTGCCCACGCTTCGATTGGAACCACCCACCTCCCCCCTCGATCCGGTTCGATCCGCCCACCCTCCCAACCCATCCTCCCGCCTCGTCATCCCGAGGAAGTGCGCTCGTGCAGCGACAAGTACCCGAGGACTCAGTACGAGATTGCGACCATATGCATCGGAAAGAATCCTCATCCTCCTCCACCTCCTCCTCGCGGCCGCTGTCATGAAATCGGCCGACCCTCCAGATGCCCAGACCTCCAGGCGTCGTGAACAAATCGCAACGTGAGGTTTTTCGCTATGTTCGGCCTTTGGGGGCTCTCACGAGTACTGGGCCTCGGGAGCGACAGACCTCTGGGGGTCGACGTTGTGAAAAAAATCACGACGTCGGGGGTCTGGGGGATCCCAGGATGTCGCCAAAGATGCAGCGCCACGTGATGCGCACAGATGAGCGCCACTGACATTTGTGACCGTCAGCGTTTTGGAAATAACGCCCATCCCCTCCACCTCTTCCTCACTCGGGATCTCTACCTCTCTCCGATCGACTCAGACCACCCAGTTGGTCGGCCGCACCATCGTGCGGCGTGGTTCATAACCGTCGCTTGCGCTAGCTCGGAAACGGCGACCGTCCGCGCAGTGCTCGGGTTTCCCCTGCGCGTTTTTTTGTTCCAGGATTTTTTTGTTCCAAGGGTGTTTTTTTTCCCCGCCCTGGCCCCGACCCAGGACCCTGGGACCAAAAAAGCACCCCCCCCCCCATCGAGTTGCACCACGCAGTGCCATCTCCGTGCACGCATGCCTGCGCATGATGTATGTATGTTTGTGTATATATAGCGTTGAGAGGTGCATGTTTCTTCCCCTCATCTCTCTCGCCCTTCGATCTTTGAGTAGGGCTCGCTCGCCTCGCGCATCAGCGGCGGCGGCAAAGGCGCTGAATGGCCTGCGCGCCATTATGCACTACGTACGCGCGTCACACGCATGCGGATGAAAAGTGCGGGCCATATATATATATATATATATGTGTGTGTGTACACATATATATATATATATATATATACACGTGTGTATATGTGTCGACATGTCTTGATTTTTTCTCAATGTCTTGATTTTTTGCGACGTGTGATTTTTTTCATGACGCAAGCGGCCGTCATGAAAAAATCATGACTCCAAGGGGTCTGGGTCGCGCGGACATTGCGAGGGGGTCTCAGCCGGACAGGATCATCACGAGTAGGATGGTGCGTCGGTGGAAGCCAGTGGAAGGTACGGGAGCCGAGCCGGAAGCTAAATCAAGATGGTGTGTCCACGGACACAGAGACCCCGATTCCGGCCCCCTGCAAGTGTACGCCCCCACGCCCCAGACCTCGAGCATCATGATGTTTACCCAGGTGCTGATGAACTTCGGCCTCCTGGCCGACATCGCGGATGTGAAAAACGCTTTCTGCCAGAGCGACCCGATGTCCAGGACCCAGGGCCACGTGTACGTCGAGCCTTGCGAAGGCATCGATCTTCCCCGGGGCTCCCTGATCTTGCTTAAGGTCAATGTCTATGGCCTGGACGATGCACCGGTTGCGTGGAGGCGGACGGCGATCAAGTTCCTGTCACAGCACGGCTTCACCAAGAGCCTCCTAGAGCCGTGCTGGTGGATCCGCTACGGGCCAAAGGGCGAAATCTTGAATATGATGCTTCTCGAAGTAGATGACTTCTTTATAGGCAGTAGTTCCCCGGCTGCCAGGTCCTGGGTTAGGAATCTACTCGAGTCACGCTTTAAGTTTGGCAAGTACCGAGATTGTCACACGGGCGCAGTCGACTTTGCCGGGAGACGAGTAACGATCAGTGCCCAGAAGGCCACTCTAGATCAAGAAAAGTACATATTGGAGGAGATCAAACCGTTGACGATGGCTAGAGGCCGACTCTCCACCAAGAACAGCCCTCTTGATCAGTCCGAGTTCCGGGCGCTCAGATCGCTAGTCTTCAAGTTCAACTGGGTCGGCCGTGAGTGCCGGCCCGAGGCCGCTGGCGTGGCGAGCATCTTTGCGAGTCGCCTAAAGGCTCCCACTACCGGTGACGTAGCCCTCGCCAACAAGATGGTGCGTCATCTTCGGTCGACTGCATCTCGTGGGCTTACTGCGTGGAAGCTCGATCCCAAGCGCATGGCGTTTATATCGTTTTCGGATGCAGGTGGAGCAGGGGCGTTCGACGACCTACTCGACGACAAGGGACTACCCGAGGACCCCACCCAGGGTGCCTGGATGGCCCTGGCGGCTGACAGGGGCATCCTTGAGAACAAGTCTGTACGTTCATCGCTCTTGGGCTGGCGCAGCTGCAAACTCCGGCGCAAGGTGCCATCTACCTTGGCGGGCGAGACCCAAGCCCTGTCTTCGGCCGTGGCCGAGGTCGAGTATCTCCAGATCCTCTACCGGGACGTCGTGTTCCAGGACGTAGACATCCATGATCATCATAGGTGTTCCAGGCCATTCACTACTGTCCGCAGGAGCGACTGCCGACTGGGCTCCAGAGAGCACCAGGTGCACGTGGTGGACGCCAAGTCCATTTACGACACTATGCTTAAGGAGGGCAACGCCTCGGCCCGCGACCGTCGCACCGCGATCGATCTAGCGATCATCTGCGAGGCCCTCGAGAGGGCCCAGGGCAAGGTCCGCTGGATCCCGCGCGGGCGTATGCCGGTAGATTCCCTGACGAAGGACGACATCGCAAAAGGGAACGCCGCCCTGTTCGATCTGATGACCAGCGGCCGGCTGGTGCTGATCGACGAAGGGGCAGAGGTTGAACGTCGTCGCACTCAACCCGAGCTGAAGAGCCGCACCCAGGCGGCCTCGCGTAAGGTCCTGGACGAGACAGCGTGGGTTTCGTGGAAGGACTTCCAGGACCAGGTCCAGGCCGGTGGTGGTGGTGGTGGTTCCTCGTCTCTTCTTTCCTCCTCTCCATCCTACACTGCCAATGTCTATGCCTTCCAATAGTCTCACACTCCGCTTCAATCTTCGTGTTTCTCTTTCTGTTCCCCAGGGTTTTCAGCCACTCTCACAGCGAGAGGGCCGGTGACAGGCCACAGGGGCCTCGAGTCACCAGGGGAAGCTAAACCTGTTAGAAAGTCCGACCAGTGTAGCTGGTCTCCAGATTTTCCCCGTCAGGTTTAGCATATGGTTAGCGTGTCATATTTCACCCGTTGTGACACGATGGCTCAAGGGAAAAGCATATACTGCCCCTGCTGCTGCCGCATGATGCTGCTGATGCTGCTGCTGATGTCGATAATGAGGCTGGTGATGATGTTGAGGATGAGTTTGGTCTTAATGATGATGCTGATGATGCTGGTGATAATGGTGGTGGTGGTGCTGATATGAATGACGGCGATGCCAATGCTGATGACGACGATGACGATGATGCTGCTGTTGATGATGCTGTTGATGATGATGGTGATGCTGTTGCTACTGATGATGTTGATCGTGACTATTCTGATGATGATGATGCGGCTGCTGCTACTGATGATGATCTTGCTGATGCTGATGATGCTGATGATGGTAATGCGGCTGATTATGATGTTGTTGATGATGATGATGGTGATGAATATGACGATGATGATGACGGATGTGATGATGAGGAGGATGCAAATGATGATTGCCATTTTGTTGATGATTATGAGGCCGGTGATGGTGATGGTGATGCATATGATGATGATGCTGCTGATTCGGATGATGATCATGATCATGATGATGGTGATGATGGTGGTGGTGATGATGATGCTGGTGATGGTGATAATATTGATGGTAATGGTGATGGTGGTGATGATGGTTATGATACGTATGATGTTGATGCTGCTGATGCTGATGCTTACGATGATGGTGCTGATGAGGAGGCGGAAAGGGAGGAACATGATGATGACGGGCAAATGAATAATAAGAATACGAAACGAAATCATAATAATAGTCTAAGAGTAACTCTGCGAATATTAATAGCTGTCGGATAGTAATAATAGTATTAATAATAAGAAACATCATAACACGAAACATAACAAGGAATTGGAAGTTAAGGCGTGGGTGGCGGAGGAGGAGGGCGGAGGGCAAGGAGGAGAGGGTCGAGGAGGCGGCGGCGGCGGAGGAGGAGGAGGAGGAAGAGGAGGAGGAGAAGGAGGAGGAGGAGGAGGAGGAGTGACGAGGGAGGAGGCGGCGAAAGGGGCAGGCTCGAACGGACGAGGACCACCTTTCCCGCGCCGCTCACGCCCCCCGACCTCCACAGGACCGGGCGGCGGCAAAACCAAAAGCAGTGCTGGCCCAGGACCTCCGTGGGGTGCGGGTGCGCCTCTGACTCCCTCCGCTGCTGCCCTTGGGGATCATCGAGGGGAGGGAGGATGAGGGGAGGGGGAAGGAACGGAAGGGGGATGGGGAGGGGGGGGGGGTCGGACCACTGTCAGGCTTCTGGATGGCGCCAGAGACCTCCGAGGAGGCTTCCGTCCTCCGCCCTCTCCTTCGTCCTCCTCCCCCTGCTCCCTCCTCTCTGTTTCTCTTCCTTGTCCTCCTTCTCTTCTCTTCCTCCTCACCTCCCTCCTATTCCTCCTCCTACTCCGCCTCTTCCTCCTCCGCCTCTTCACTCCTCTCCCTTCCCTTTTCTTCCGTCCTCTTCACTCCTCATTCCTGTTCCCTCTTCCCTCCTTCTGTTCCCTCCTGTTCTCTCCTCTTCCCTCCTCTCCCTCCTGCCTCCTCTTCTCTCCTCGGCGTAGGCCGCCCTGCCTGCCCCAGTCTCTCGCCGCGCGCGGTGTCCGGCCCGGTGCCGCGGCCCCCGCCCGGGAGGACAAGAATTTCAAGACCGTGTCCGTGAACGCGTGGGTGGCACGAAGCGGGGAGGAGGAGGAGGAGGAGGAGGAGGAGGAGGAGGTAAGGAGGATGCGATAAGGAGGAGGGGGAGGAGAGGGAGGAGGAGGAAGAGGTGGAGGAGGAGGAGGAGGAGGCGAGAACGAGGAATTGTGGAGTCCCTCTGCGGAGGAGGAAGAAGAGGAATAGGTGGAGGAAGAGGAGGAGGAGGAGGAAGAGGAGGATGAGGAAGAGGAGGATGAGGAGGAGGAAGAGGAAGGACAAGACGGAGAAGAGGAGAAGGAGGAGGGGGAGGAGGAGCAGTGTAAACCCAAGGGTCAGCAACGATGTTGTTATCAACCTTCCCTCCAAGCTCCCTCTTCATAGGCTCCTACAAGGGTTCTTTTCCACTGAGGGAACTGCCTCGTTGGATGACAATTGTCTGAAGACCGTGAAGCATGCCAAAACATTTGTCTCGGGATTCCAACGCAACGGATCAAGCTGGCTGTTACGTTTTGACGTTCCTAAATCGTGCTAGAACGCCATCCCTGGGACTTCAACACCGCGAATCAACGTAATTGTTGCGCCCACATAATCCTGAATCTTTCCAAAACGCCATTCCTGGTACGTTGACCATGGGAATCCGCGGAACTCTTGCAAATCTAAAAAGCGAAAATGCGCGGCGCTAAGCGAGAGCTACATTTTGAAAACGAGCCGCCTTCAATCTTTGAAAAACTTGCAAACGAATGTGCGTGGCGCTAAGGCGAGAGCCACATGTTGAAAACGGACCGCCCTAAATCCGTGAAGCTCTTGCAAATTCTGGCAACGAGTGTGCGCAGCGCTAAGGCGAGAGCCACAAGTTGAAAACGAATGTGCGCGGCGATAGGGCGAGAGCCACATTTTGAAGGCGACTCGCCCTTCATCCGTGAAATAGGGCAAATTTTCAAAAAGGAATGTACGCCGCGCTACGGCGAGAGCTACATTTCGGCCCGCCCTCCATCTGTGAATCTGTTGCCACTTTTCAGCTTCAGGGTCATAAGTAGTGAGGAAGTCAAAGGCGGAACGCCTGGCACGCCCTTTCGACGGGTTTCGTGGTGCAGAAATGGGAGGACGATAATGATGAGGACGATGATGATGATGATGATGATGATGATGATGATGATGATGATGATGATGATGCGGATGAGGATGATGCTGATGATGCTGTTGATGATGATGATGATGATGATGTAGGTGGTGCTGCTGATGATGATACTGCTGTTGATGATGCTGCTGATACTGATGGTCATGCTGATGATGATGATGGATGATGATGATGATGATGCTGATGCTGATGATGTTGCTGATGATGAAGATGACGATGATGACGGCGATACTGATGATGATGTTGCTGCTGATGATGATGTTGATGATGATGCTGATGTTGATGGGGATGCGGAAGCTGATGGTGAGGATGATGAGGATGTGGATGAGGATGAGGATGAGTTTGGTGATGATGATGCTGATGCTGATGATGATGACGCTGCTGCTGATGCTGATGCTGATGCTGCTGATGCTGATGCTGATGCTGCTGATGATGATTCTTATTAGTAAACTAATTACTATTGCGATTCTGATGACGATGCCGATGCTGATCATGATGATGCTGATTATGATGCTGCTGATGATGATTATGCTGCTGATGCTGATGATAATCATGCTGATGACGATTATCATGATGCTGATGATGCTTGTAATGCTGATACTGCTGATTATGATGTTGATGATGCTGATACGGATGATGATGTTGATGATTATGATGCTGATGACGATGCTGATGTTGATGACGATGATGATGGATGATGATGATGATGATGATGATGATGATGATGATGATGATGATGATGATGATGATTATGGTGATGACGATGTTGCTGATGCTGATGATGATGATGGTGCGAGGATGCCGATGCGGCTGCTGATGCTGATGCTGATGCTGCTGTTAATGATGATGCTGATGCTGCTGATGCCTATGCTGATGATGATGCTGATGCTGGTGATGCTGATGCTGATGCTGATGATGCTGCTGATAATGATGGTGATGATGCTGATGATGCTGCTGTTGATGATGATGATGATGATGATGAATATGATGCTGCTGATGATGATGACGATGACGATGCTGGTTATGATGATGACGATGCTGATGCTGATGCTGATGATGCTGATGAAGATGATGAAGATGAAGATGATGGTGATGATGATGATGATGATGCTGATGATGATTATGATGGTGGTTGTGGTAATGATGATGATTGTGATGCTGCTGATGATGCTGATGATGCTGATGACGATGCTGCTGCTGCTGATGATGATGATGGTGATGATGGTGCTGATGATGATGTTGATGACGATGATGATGATGATGGTGATGATGATGATGCTGATGCTGATGCTGATGCTGATGATGATGCTGATGATGATGCTGATGCTGATGATGCAGATGATGATGACGACGACGAGGACGATGATGAGGAGGTGGATGAGGAGGAGGAGGGGGAGGAGGCGGAGGAGGATACGACCGAGGCAGAGGCGGAGGAGGAGGAGGAGGAGGAAGGAGTAGGAGGCGGAGGAGGAGGGATGTGGATCAGGAGGAGGAGGAGGAGGAGGTGGAGGAGGATGAGGAGGAGGCGGAAGGAGGCGGCGGAGGAGGAGGAAGAGGAGGAGGAGGGGATATATGAATATGTGCAAAGGAGGGAATTGTAGAGGCGGACGTGCAGCAAGATGGCAGAGGAGGAGGGGGGGATGATGATGCTGCTGATGCTGATGATGATGCTGCTGATGATGACGATGCTGCTGATGATGATGATGATGATGATGCCGATGATGATGATGTTGCTGATGATAATGTTGATGATGGTGCTGGTGATGATGATGATGCTGATGCTGATGCTGACGATGATGATGATGATGAGGTTGATGAGGAAGATGCTCATAACAATGATGATGATGCTGATGATGATGTTGACGATGATGATGATGGTGACGATGCGGATAATGATGATGACGATGATGATGATGATGATGATGATGGTTGGAGTGGTGGTGATGATGATGATGTCGATGCTGATGCTGATACTGCTGATGGTGACGTTGTTGATGCTGATGCTGATACTGATGACGATGACGATGACGATGACGATGCTGATGATGCTGATGCTGATGCTGACGATGGTGCTGATACTGATGCTGATGGTGATGCTGATGATGGTGATGATGATGGGGATGCTGTTGATGATGATGAGTCTGATGCTGATGCTGATGCTGATGATGACGATGCTGATGATGATGTTGCTTATGCTGATGATGATGGTGACGATCACGCTGATGATGATGACGATGCTGATGATGCTGATACTGATGATGATGCTGATGATGGTGCTGCTGATGATGATGGTGGTGATGATGATGATGATGGTGATGCTGATGATGAGTATGATGCGGATGCTGATACTGCTGATTCTCTTGATGATGCTGATGCTGCTCATGTTGATGCTGATGATGATGCTGATGATGTTGTTGCCGATGCTGATGATGATGCTGATGATGCTGATGATCCCGCTGACGATGACGATGTTGATGATGCTGAGAATGCTGCTGATGATGATGATACTGATGCTGATGCTGTTGATAATGCTGATGATGCTGATGATGATGCTGATGCTGATTCTGGCGATGATGATGCTGCGGATGATGATGATGATGATGATGATGATGATGATGATGATGATGCTGATGATGCGGATGCGGATGATGATGATGATGATGATGATGATGATGATGATGATGATGAGGAGGAGGAGGAGGATGAGGATGAGGATGAGGATGAGGATGAGGATGAGGATGATGATGATGATGATGATGATGATGATGATGATGATGATGATGATGATGATGATGAGGATCATGACCAACGGCGATCGGCGGCCGCCGTCCCGATCCGATCAAGATGGAAGAGCCGACCGGATAGCCTATCCGGGTGCTCGGGCGCCGAACTCCTGCATGGGTGGACGTGAAGGCCCCCAAGGGCCCCCAGCACCGAGCAACGAGCATACCGTCATGCCCCCTGCCCCCGCCCCTGCGCCTCGAGCGTCCCCAGAAGGGCGCCCAAGGCCAGGAAACCCCAGGGGACCTTCCCCCCCGGGCACCTGCTGGACCGGCAACCCCTGCGCCAAGAGGACGCGAGGGGCCTTCGGCCCAGGGATCCCCCCTCTTCTTCAGCCCCAGGGTGGGCGGGATGGGATCGAACCGGCTGTAAACGCCTGCGGGCGGGCGGACAATCAACCATGTGCTCATGATCCCCTACCTCCCCAACGGACCACCAATAACCTGCCAGGGGTCGAGGATCATGACCAACGGCGATCGCCGGCCGCCGTCCCGATCCGATCAAGATGGAAGAGCCGACCGGATAGCCTATCCGGGTGCTCGGGCGCGGCATGCACGAGCTTCCCCCCGAACTCCTGCATGGGTGGATGTGAAGGCCCCCAAGGGCCCCCAGCACCGAGCAACGAGCATACCGTCATGCCCCCTGCCCCCATCGAACGTATTTATCACCTTCGCCGCGCGCACACACGGCTCTCTCCATCGAACTCACCTTGGAAAAAATTAAGCCAAGCCTCGACAGGGACCCGTTTCAGATCTGCCGGCCACGGAGGCAACGAGACTGCACGCAGGGGAATCCCCAGCTGGCGCGCAGTTGGGTCAGTGATACCGAAGCGACTTCCGCCGTCCGCAATATTGGCAGCGCTGTCTACGTGCTTCCACCACGGCAATAGTTCCAGAGATGCCGAAACCAAATGGATTGCGTGGACAATTCCGCCGAAATCGACGACGTTGCTCGAGCCCTTGCAGATTGCCGATAATAACGGGAGATTGTCCACGAATGCTACCACTGAGGCCCCGCGCAAAACGGGCCGTTCATGATAGAAGCACAGAAGAGGCGCGAACGCTTGTCCTAGTGCAATATACTGTTCCCGAGCCCCAAAGCTGTCCAATAT